GCCAAAACGCCCTTTTGTGCTGTGCTCCTGGGCCACACCAGGCTGGGCTTTTCGCTTTTTTTTTTCGCAGCATGAAGCAAAAGCCCAGCCCAGCCCTGACCAGGAGTGGAAATCTCTTGAAATAAGGGACATTGGGATTATTATATAGGAAACAATATTGCAGACAATGGCTATAACTTTAAAACTAGGTTGTATCTAGCAGTTGAAAAGCTTAACACTCCCCAACACACATTTTAAGGGTCTAGAGTTTAGATACTTATCACCAAAAATGTGAGTAAACATTCAAAGGCAAGGCAGCTTAAAAGTAGCTGCATCCATACCAATACTGTTGTAGTTTTGCCACTCCATCCCCACAAAATAGTTTTGCAGTTGTTTGGTTTGATGTAAACATCTGGACCTATTTTTGTGTGTTAATTGCTAAAGAGTTCTTAATTATCAAGTGCTAGTCAATCGCTTGCAGCAAATATAAGTAAATTACAAAGTTCTCTCTTACTCTATGATTACAAAAAAGCTCATTTTTTTCCTATTGTCCCATTTTTTGTCTAATCATCAAGACCACAAGTCATAGGTGCATTTTTTTCTGTTTCATGCAAAAAGTCTATAAGGGGTTTCCAGTCAGCCATAAATGTAGATATTTACTTATATTTGCTGCAAAGGAAATCGGAAGATTTTTCCTTCTGTTTCTTTTTATCTTTTCTTTCTCCACTTTGGTCTTCCTCCTTTTTTTTCTTTTTCTTTTTCTTTTTCTTTTTCTTTTCCTTTATTCTGTATTAGTTTGTGTTAGTTTTTATGTTGTGTTTAAAAATTTATATATAAAACAAGTGCTACTCAATCCAATTGTTTCTTAATTCAGGAAGCACAGGGCTGTTTTTCATAAACAATTCTTGACAACCTTATTACTGACATGTGTAGGGTTACACTGTTATATACTTTGAGTGAATTGATGCCTATGAGTTTTTGTAGCTTTCTGAAGATAGCTTGCAAATTCAGTCTTTATAAATTCTTCTGATTTGACCAACTCTTTCAAATCTTTCTCCCTTGACTCCAGTGATCTTGAACTACTCCCAAAGATTGTCAGGCTTTCTGAGGTGCAGATGCTCAGGAGGAACTTGGAAGATAAGCAATGATGTTGCAAAGAGGGTGGAGCTCATAGAAGGGGAGGAGCCTGATAGAAGGGAGAAATAGTGTCTATGAGCCACAGAAAAAATTTAATTGAACCTTGTGCCTAGTAGAAACTGATGAGTAGCAAGCATTAAAAGAAAACCTCTTGAGACAAGGGGAAAATAACTTATCCTTTGCCCCTTGCCCACCTTTCAGAAATGCTACTCCTTCCACTAAACAGCCCAGAGAAGAACAAATCCTAGAAATTTCTGGTCAAACTTTGAGACCAGACAACTTTCAGACCCAAGCCAGCCATTTTAGGGAATCAGAGTATTAAGGACTTCAGTAGTCAGAAGGACAGGCTGACAAGATTATCTTCTGCCCAAAGTTAAAAAGAGTGGAACTTGTTAAAAGCTTGAAGGATACTTCCCTTCAGACCTGGGTTGCTTGGTGCTTGCTTTGGATATGGGCCAGAAAAAAGCTGTGCACACAGTTCTGACACTCTTTTTGACTTTCAGAAATGCTTGTTTACTTGAGATTTTTAAGAATTCTTTCATTGAATTTCCTGGGTCATAGGTGACAGATGGCTGGATGAGCCTATTCAAATTCATCATTTTGGATTTGTGGGCTTTATGAATAAATTAAATAGCAGCCAGAGAAAATGAGATTGAGATTTCCAAGTTGGCCAAGTAAAAATGCGGTTGTATTTTGTTTTTCTTCTTCTACTTAAATCCTGCCTGCATAACAGAATCATACACTACATTCTAGATGCAAAGTACAAATTATGTGGCTTTTGAGTTTCTGAAGGGAAATGTTTATATTTTGGTTTCCATGCTGTTGTTTCTGACTGGTTACAAGTCCATGCTACTTACGCTATACAGACAAAGAAATATCCAGGAATGATGGAGTTGCTGAGTCTCTCAGTCTCCCCTTCTTAAATTTGTTCTCTTCCAAGCATAGCTTGACTCATGTAGTTCCTCTGAGAACAAAGAATGGCAGGTGATAGAGAAAGGTAGGATATATAAAGTCAGATTATTTGTGTAGAAAACGTTTTACCTGGTGTCAACATCCAAAATCAAAACTGAGACTCTTACAGAGTTCTAGGGAATGCAAATACAGACATACCAGCCAACAATGGGAATTGCTAGGAAATATATTTCAGTTGCAAGCAACTGTAGCATGTCTCTGTTGCAGTGTTTCTCAACCTTGGCAATTTTAAGTTGTGTGGACTTCAATTCCCAGAATTCTCCAGCCAGCATGCTGGCTGGAGAATTCTGGAAGTTGAAGTCCACACATCTTGGAGTTGCCAAGGTTGAGAAACACTGTTGTACTGTGTATAGCGTGGATAATTTCAAATCAGTTTTATAATGCTATGGTCCTGCTTCAGTCATAGAACTTTCCAGAAGGTTCAGGGGTCACTGTATTCCTATTCCCATTCCATTCCATTCCATTTTTCCCCATGTTTTCCTACCAGAAAAATATCAGTTCAAAAGGAAAATACAAACTTGGCCTCTCATATCCTCTGGTTGATAGCACTAAGAGCAGTAACATTCTTTAGAAGACCTTATCTTTGCACATGGTAGTCTGCTGATAAAAAGGAAGAGAAATGCTCACTATCTCCAGCCAGATATCTAGGAAGCATACAGACAGGGCATAGAGGTAGCAACATTCTTCTGCTGCTTCCATCAGCTGGTATGCAGTGGTACGTAGTTGCTGAACATGGAAAGTTGTTCACTTAATATGAGTGTCTTCCATTAATTCATTTAATTTAAGCCTTCCTCCATTACTACATCTTGGGCATCCAGTTTCATAGAAAGCATACATTTTGTGCAGAAGAACTTAATTTTGCCTACTTTGGAACTCTTGCTGCCCATAAATTACTTTAGGTTTAGGAACCCTTGGTTTATAAAACAGGTGCATTTGGGCACTGCCATTCACTGGGATAGATGGAATTACATGTAAGGTGGATGAATCTGACATTTTTCATTCCTTTCCATTATGGGTTTTTCTGATCATTAACTTATTCTATCCAATTGCTGCATTTGTGTTTGTGTGTACATGACTCCTAATGCAGGTCTTTTTGTAGCCCAGAATTTTTTTGCAGGCAATTTTCCTTATATAATAAGCTTCTTTGTACTTTTTTCTAAAATGAATATTTGCATTGTTTTTGTACTTATGTCACCAGCATACATAGAGGTAGCCCTCAACTTACAACCATTTGTTTAGCAACAGTTCAAAGTTATGACAGTGCTGAAATAAGTGACTTATCATCAGTCCTCATACAACCGTTGGAGTGTCCCAACGGTCATGTGATCAAAATTCAGGAGTTTGGTGACTGGCATGTATTTACGATGGTTGCAGCATCCTGGAGTCACGTGATCACCATTTGCGACCTTGCCAGCTGGCTTCCAACAAGCAAAATCAATGGGGAACTGCATGATTCACTCAACAACCATGGGGGTTTGCTTAATGACCGTCGCAAAAAAATGTCATAAAATCAGGTGCGGTCACATGATGTCCCTTAACAACCACACCACTTTACAATGAATTTTCCGGTTCCTATTGTGGTCGTAAGTTGAGGACTACCTGTATATTTGTTTGGATAACTGTTCTGTAACATTCTGAAAAATATAAATACTGAATGTTAATTATATCCCAGCTCACATCCTGATTTCAGAAATGTGAATTTGATAAGCTGATATCAAAGCACTGTTTCTTCACCCACCCTAATTAGAGGATACATAGAAAATGTAATAATTGAAGAAAACCTAGGAGAAATAGTGAGACATTGGCAGAATCGAGAAGGGCATGTATATGGGCATGTACATTAATGATTTTTGGGGACTGCAAAAAAAGATGCTATGCAAAGTATATGTGTGTGTGCCTTCAAGTCAACATTGACTCCTGGCGACTGCCTGGACTAGTCCCTGCAGTTTCCTTGACAAGGTTTTTCAGAAGTGGTTTGCTGTTGCCTCCGTCCTAGGGCTGAGAGAGAGGGACTGGCCCAAGGTCACCCAGCTGGCTTCGTGCCTAAGGCGAGACTAGAACTCACAGTCTCCCAGTTTCTACCCTGATGCCTGAACCACTACCCCAAACTGGCTCCACTTATGCAAAATATACTGAATGCAGAATTAGAAAAGAATGTTTCTAGCTGCTGTGTATGTAAAGACTATTATGTTTGACATTACAGGGGTAATGAAACTGGAAAATTGCAGAAGGAAAGCTGATATTGGGATAGGGCCGGGGATGTTTACTTATTTTTATACGTATAACTGACATTTCCTCTAGCAGTTCTAAATGGCATACCTGTGGTCTCCCCCAAATTGTATTCTGACAGCAGTCACCTTGTGGGGTAGGCTGAACAGAGAGAAAGTGTTTAGATCAAAGTCACTCACAGATTTCCATGGCTGGGTGGGAATTATCACTGATCCCAGTCCAACTTCTTAACTGTTTCACTACCTTTAAGTATTCTGCACCACTCTCTTAAAATCTACCTGTAACTATTAAACCAGAACAAACACAACAAAAAGTTAAATAGTAGGGAAGGAGCTATACACATGAGGATAATGTTATAAGCTAATGTTTCAATTTCCATCATTTGTAGTGGAATGTGCTTTAAAACATGTTTAGAATAGACTGTTACATGCAATGTAATACAAAGGTTGAGCTTACAGTGAATGAGAAATGCTCCAAAGGGAGGTCTAATTCAGTGGGTTTTGTGCAGAAAGGACTTCTCTGAGGGCAAAGTGTATGTCACTTTTTAGGATAAATAAGTTTACAGTTTATAAAATAATGATTTATGCCTTTCTCCTTGTAGTAAGATACTAAATTGGGAAGTTTTTCAGGGATAGTCTGTTCAGAAGGCTTGGTGTAACGATCACTTTCTTTTTTTATTGCAGACTCCCTCACCCCTTTTCATGTGGAGCTGCCTGCCCTTTCATACACTGAGACCTGCGGCCTTTCTTGTCCCCTGGAATATTTGTGGTGATAACTCTGGTTTATGGAAGATGCTGGAAGTGCTGGAGAAGCTAAATGGATCCTAACGCCATCAGGAGAATGAAGGAACAATCAATGATAATGGTTTGGCTATGGATAATGTGCCTCCTTGGCCTAGCATCTTCTCTAGAAGGTAAATGCAAAGCTGATTCACTCCAGAATGGAAATATTATTGATTGGTTGATTATGTGCCATCCAGTCATTTTCGACTCCTAGTGACCACATAGATAGATTTTTTTTTCCATAACGATCTATCCCTAACCTGTTCTTTCAAGTCTCCCAAGGGTGCACTCATTGCTACTGTAACTGAATCCATCTACCTTGCTGCTGGTTGTCCTCTTCCTCTCTTTCCTTCCACCTTTCCCATTGTTTCTAATACTTGTCTACAACTTATTTACTGACTAGTGACATTTGCTGTTGACTAATGTTTTCAGAGCTCGCTGAAGATCCTTGTTGAATGCTTCTGCTAGGCAGTTTTGCTGTTGTGAGCACTGATTGTTGAATGAAGCTTCTAGGTATTTTATGCCATATATATTTTGTGGCTGAAGAAAAGCAGATCAAAGTTCTCAAGTCTTGAGTTTTCTAGTTCTCTAAAAAAATGAACATCCAGAGGCTACAGATTCTTTGGCTTTTATGGTGCATCTTGTCTCTGTCCACTATTTAATTTATATGTTTAGTAAATAAATATTATGCTAAAGGGCTGGTTGATTATGCTAAAGGGCTGGTTTATTATAAACCCTCACATTTCTTGCCATTCAGAGAAACACTACTAAGCTTCTGTGAATCCAGAAAGACATTGGAATTATTTGGGTTATTACAAATTTCCACACAGCAAAAAGTAACAAAAGATACTACCTCTGATGGCTTTTTTTTAAATTAAAACTTCTAGTCCCTGAGGTTTATAGAAGAAAAAAAAATACCTCAAAATGACGCTAAAGAAAGTGCAAAGTGATTGAAATTTAATATAAAAACGATGTGGGTTTAAGGCAGTGTTGTCCAAACTTGGCCACTTTAAGATGAGTGGACTTCAACTCCCAGAATTCCCCAGCCAG